GATTACAAAGTAAAATTAATAAAAGTAAAGATCTATAACATGTTGGAACATGATAACTATTGTGTAATATTAGAAAGGGATTTGTGTAAAATCTATGTGTCGCTAATTAAATTAATGTAACAAAAGATTAAAATAAAATACCAATAAGATTTAAAATATAAAATGATGTGATAATAGTATGAATTAATTGGTAAATTGAATGATGATGAAATCTAAACTAAAATGATGCGATAATAAAGTAAAATAATTGAATAAAAATATAAATTATTGCTATTGGATAAAAATGTAAGAAATATAGAAAAGTAAAATAAAAGAAAAAGTCTAAATAAATATTATTGTGCTAAAAATATAATGTGATATAGTTGATGAAAGGTAGAATGGTAACAATATTAATCACACATCAATTTATTATTCAAGTTTTTGTTTCTTTCTTGGTTCATTATAAGTTGGTGATAATATTCATTTATTGATTATTATTTTTCACTCTTTTTGGTAAATTTTATAAGTGATTTTTTCTTTATCTAGATATTCCTGGAGAGTTTGGATATTATTGATTTTAAAAACATATGGAGCAATTTTTTCACCTTGAGCTTTTTTTAGAATGCTTCTAATAGTGCTGTAATTCTTTGATTCCATGATAAATTTAATGTAAATTAATTTCATATTAATATTTTTTATATATGTAGAGATAATCCTATATTAATCATGTTATAATTTATATTCATTACATTCTGATATGATAAAGTGAACATTAAAATTAACAAGTTCATAAGTTATGAATAAGCATCATTATTACTTTTCAAAACTTCATCAATCACACTGGTCAATTTTATAGCCACATCATAATCAGTCTCTCATTTATATCACATAATCAAATGTTCACTTTGTCTGGTTTTGTTGCAGCATGTCCCATATATGTTGCAAATTGAAATAGAATCTGTTGATTTGGAATCAACTTAGGTTAATTTAGAATATTGGCCAGTTATTTTAATTTTATAATGCAGGCTAAATTCCAAATCAACACAGATTATTTCAACTTGCAACATATATATCGATATATCAAAATTACTCAGTGAATTAAAGAGAAAGTCTTTGAACTTGAGTATTTACTGCACGTTGCCTTTTTGGAACAAAGGAAATACATTAAATATATTATATTTATTAGATATTATCAATTAAAAATGCGAATATTGTGTAACTTTACAAAGGAAAGATCCTTTACTTCGTTTTAGCATCACACGAGAAATTTAAACTAGCAATACTCAAGGAAAAAACCGTACTACCCAATTGCTCTGTTGAATTTATTGATTAACTCAAACTATTCCAATCATTTCAAGCTAACAGCCTCCCTTTCCAACCACTTCAATCCAGGACTATTAGGCTTCAGCAAAGGCCTAACCTTTGCGAGACACTCTGCATTGAAATCATTGACCCATTTTTCTTCGGCCGGACTCAGCAGTGATTTATCGATCAGTTTTGTTTGAACTGGGACCATGCTCACATGTTCGAAACCGAGGTATCCCCGATCGCCGAAATTGTTTGGCGTTTTCGCTTCACGAACTATGAGCAGTGATTCGATGCGGATACCGAACTTTCCGTCTTCGTAGTATCCAGGTTCATCAGTTACGGTCATGCCTGCTTGGAATGGGGTGTCGTTGTATGCGATACGAGTACCAATTCCTTGGGGTCCTTTATTTGATAGAGAAAATAGGTTTTATTTTTTTACGAGAGGAGTAAAATTTTAAAGAAAAGTAATTTTTACTGACCTTCATGGACATTTAAGTAATGACCAACACCATGACCAGTGCCATGTCGAAAATCTAAACCATCTTTCCATAGAGATGACCTAGCAAGAACATCCAAAATAAAACCTACAATTGCAAACAATCAAAAAATAGTAATTTTCATTATATTAATAAGTATAGAATAATCTTTCGTCCTTCATAATATAAAATAAATACCTGTAGTTCCTTGTGGGAATATAGCTTGATCAATAGCAATATGACCTTGCAATACACGAGTAAAAGCTCGTCTTTCTTGCTCAGTTGGTGTACCGAAATGAATTGTACGAGTAATGTCGGTTGTGCCATCTCTTAGAATTCAAAATGAAAATAAAATAAGAAATCGCGTATATTGCAAATAAACAATCTAATATGTAATCATTTTAAGCACCTGTATTGACCACCGGAATCACACAAGTACAAAAGAGATGGATTAATTATCGCGCATTTTCCTGGTTCCGGTGTGTAGTGAATGATAGCTCCATTTGGTCCAGAAGCCGAAATTGTGTCAAAAGATAGTCCCACAAAATTTTCTAATTCGCTGTTGGGAACAATAAAATGTTACCCCGAACAGAATATCATTTTATTTAGTCTCAAAATAATAATTAAAATAATGTTATTAGGTTTTTCCCTTCTTCCTCGTATACTCACGCTCTAAATTGTTCAAGGCGTGTTGAACCATCCAACTCGGTTAACTCTCTTCCAGCGGCGAGCTCCTCTTCCAACCACGCAAAATAATTTATCTAATGTCAGACGAAAGTGAATGATCGAATTTTAGTTAACCATGAAATATATCTGTCAAGTTTTGTAATTATTTACCACTGCGGAAGCATCTCTCAAGTGACATTGTCTTATTCCCTCCAACTCGACTTCATTCTTTATTGCTTTGGCGTCTTGTACAGGAGACCGATTTTCTTCGACATTATTCTGCAAAAATATTAATTATTTTAACAAAAAAAAAACTTGATTTTTACAGTAAAAAATACCCAAGACATACATACCTCACCAACTGCCTTAGCTAATGCCAGGCTTGCCCTATTTGAAAGCAAGACTTTCTATATATAATCAAACACACAAAATTACTAAACATGAAGGATTATCCTACCTTCACTATAACGAAACGATGATAATTAATAAATGAGCTTGCCTGTTTTTCTTCTTTTAATTTTGGTTGTAAATTTTTCAAGTCTTCGAAAATAGCAGAATATGGAGAAAGTTTGATATCCTTGCCAAGATGAAACTTCGCTTCATTAGCCATTCTGCTTTCATTGATGTATAGGGTAATGTCGTTTTTGGTCACAAGCGAGTATGCGTGGAACACGGGGTTATATCGAACATCGGAGCCACGAAGATTGAAAAGCCCTAATTACAAACCAAGAACATTAATAAAATAGATAAAATATATAAACTATAAGTCATCAAAGAAGTTTCTTAAAGACCGTGTGAAAAGTGAATGGATTAAAAATGTTATTAGAATTCTATTCTGAGCATGCCTTACAAGCAACTTCATCCAACGCCGTGATGACAAAACCATACACATTCGATTTTGTTAATTCTTCTCGAAGATTAGCAATTTTATCGGTATGCGAACGACCTTTTGATAGATATTCGTGTGAGTATAAAAATTAAGATGATATAATTATGTTTGCAAAATATTTGACTAACCCGAATATCTTAATGCCAGCACGGTAACAGGATTAGCAGGTGGAGTAGGCCTATCATTACCCCACACAATATCAACCAAATTGTCATCCGTGCCCACCAATGTTGAGCCTACTTTTTCCAAAGATTCGGATAAATTTCTAGCTTCAGCTAATTATCGAAAAATCAAAGTTGTATTAATTAATTGAATGGTAATTGGTAGTATATCTTAATGCTTGAGATACTTTACAAAAAGTTATTAATGTAGGGTCGATTCCAATTCTAGATCCATTGGCAAAATTCTATAGATTATATGATGACGAATTTGTAGACCTCGTAGCAATTCGAAAAAGATTAACACAAATTAATCAATTCACCTGCACTAAATATTCTTGCCAGGTCGGCACATCCGGTAACCCTTGTTTCATTAGTGTCCAATTCGCGTCTAATTGCAATCTTGCTTGAAGAAAGTATCGTCCATCGGTAAATAGGGCGGCACTTTGTTTGCTCACTATTGCTAACCCTGTTAAAAAGATAGATTCGCTTTCAATTAACCACTACTCGATAAATAATTAATAATCAAGTAATTTCAGTATACCAGCTGAACCAGTGAATCCCGAAATGTAAGAACGACGTTGATCGCTTGGTGCCGTATATTCACTCTTTTTTATTAAAGAAATAATAGAATATGTAAAAAGGGAAAAATTTAGTTTCTAAACAAGATAAGCTAGATTTAATTTAGTAAGAATTCAAGGGTATACCTGATGGGCATCTTCTGAAGGAATTACACTAAAAAACGCTGGTTCAAGTATAAGACAAACAAGATAAATCAAGAGCACTACCATACTTACTATGCGTTAAGGTTATATTTGTCCTGCTCGAACAAGGCGCGTAGCTTGGAAAGTCTCTCTGTCGTGTCTGTCGGAACAACTTCTTTTCCTTTTGTGGCCATTGAACGTGAACGAGAACGATAACGATAACAAAGAAAGCAATTGAAAAAGAAACGGTGTTTCTGCAGGTGCATCATTTACTAACACGTGCATGCGGAAAATTTGTAAATCCAAATATATTATCATGATGATGGTCTTTAGCATACAGTACTTCCCGAGTTACGTACACTAAATTAAAGCGATTTCGAACAAGTGTTCACGTCTAGAGCTCCTTTTGCACCGAAACTTTGTCTTTCGGAAGGCATTCTATTTGTTTGTTTTTTTGCTGCTAATTTATTTTTCTGCGAGGAATTTAATTATTTAGACGAAAAATAATGACAAGGCGGAAATTCCAAAGAGACTTTTGCGTAAAGTTGCCCGCTTCTCCTTCGGGAACTTCACTGACATCTCCTGCTAAACAGAACTATGTCCTAAAGGATTTTTCTGGACAACACCAAAGAACGGTACGAAAATTGCGCTGCAACAAAAAGTGACCCAGCTCAACAACCCAGCTCAATTTTGGTGCTACGAAGACGTCTGGATTATTAACAAGGCGACTGGTGAATATAATTACAATTAGTCAAATGCTCGGTTGGGATGCGCTAAAACGTTGTGAACACGTGATACGCGTTTATCACAGTTAAAGGCTGATTTTACCGTTAGGGTTAGAGTAGAGGGCTAGAGTATATGTAGAATTGCCTCCCTGACGTTTTTAATTAGTGCTCCAAGATAGATTAAAGCATACATTTCATTCTTATTGACTTGTTTCTCGGACAGATCACCGGATTCACAAGGCAACATTCCCGTATTGGTTTTTTACCCTATTTTTTTGAACCTTAAAAAAATAGTGCCAAACTTGAGACATGTTCAATGTTAAAACATTTAAGAAAGTCGCTATTATTTAAAAAATGGCCAATTAAATTAATTTTCAACAAAGCAGCTGATCAAAAGTTTGTCACTATTTTTTTAAGGTTCAAAAAAAACCAATATGGGGATGTTGCTTATATTCCGCAAAATACGATATTTCGATTTTTTTATTTACGTAACTCTTTATATCTTTCTAACAAGGCCTAATGACATCAAGCAATGATTCTTTTTCTCTACCTATCTCATATTTTCTTACCAATTCAAACACCAGCTCCTGGCATGCTATTTGATTCATGTGAACAAATTGATAGATATATTGATGCACCATTTTTCTAAAATTATCTATGGAGCAGAATATGAGGATGGAGTACGCAGATGCTGTCAATATCGGTGTGAATATCAAGGTCAATATCGAGGCAAAAAAGACAATTTCTGAGAAACAACGTTGGAGTATGGCTGGATTACCTTGCAAGGTCAAATTAAACATGTGAAAGGAAACAGTGTAAAGAAGGTTTCGTTGTCATTCTTTCCGATCCCACTTTTAAAGGATTTTGGTATTACTAAGACAAGTAGATGTATCCTTGTGCAAATAAAATTGCAACTAGTATATAAAATTCTTCCATACCAGGCAGGCGTCTAAAAATATAACTAAGAAAATAAAAAATATCTATTATTATCGGTCAGCACAACCAAAATCCTTTCTCTGCTTTATCTGACACAACAGAAAACTGAATTCACAACAAATTAAAATATTAAAATTGATGAAAACTAGCAAAAAAATTTTAAATTGTGAACAACATTAATAATAGACTAAACAAAATAATTACAATTTCGCCAATTAACCCGTTCCTGGATTCACTGGCTGTTGTTGGCAATCATTTTTCAATTCCTTTTAAGAAATAATAAACCTTATATGTACTAATGAGTTATAATAATTGATCAAAGTTAGTTAATTCAAAAGAGGATAATAGTGACACTTTCACTTCCTTAACTGATTTCCGGAATCCTTAATGAATTTTTAAGTTTATCATGTCTTTTTTGTCGTCGTCATCATTTTCATTATCCTCTTTTTATTATTAAACAAAAGTTTGGAAAATGAAGAAGTATAAGACGTCATGTAGCATATTTTTTTCTCGAATTATTCAGCATGTACTAAAGACCTTTATCGTATGATTAATAGAGCAAGCCCCTGACTATTCTTGTAAAGGAGCGATTTTAGGAAGCGTTTGTTGATCCAGATTTTCATGATGCGATCATACCTACGTGATTCCTATATTCTTGGACCGCTACAAAACATATAAGTTTAATCAGTTGATCCTTTGCTTAAGCAAATGATCATAGTTGTTAGAAAAATAATTAGTGTTGCCGTTTCTATTTACATGTATTTTAATATTATGTAGTAAGAATTAATTAATAATTGATTGTTCATGCTAATTATAATAAAAATTCAATGCTAGTACTACGCAATGGACAAACGCTAGAATCTAATATACCACGCGTCAATAGTTGGATAAATTCTTAAACTAGTTGATGAAAACCATTTTCGATCAAGTTTAATTTACGGTCCTTCATAAGTGTACATTTTGTGTTAAAGTCTCGAATTGTGTGAAAGTAAAACGCAGAAAAAATTCAATCGATGCACACGATTTCATTATATTGTTCTGCATCTTAAAGTCAAGGAAACAACAAAGCCAAAACTTTATTCCATGTATCATGTGTTTTTGATTCTAAGTGAGTATCTTCACAATAAAAAATTAAGACTTTGAATATTTAATCATTGGAGATCAAAAGTAATTAATGTAATTTTATTTTTATCTCTTCCTTCACACAGACTAGCATTCCATGTATTTGGATGGAAAACTACTGAGATCTGTATTGTTACTGTTTTTATATTGATAGGTAAAGTATGAACTAATTATAGTATTTAATATAAAAATAATAATAATGACTGTGTGTACTTGAGAGGGTTGGATATTAGAGAGTATAAAAAGAAATATTTATACTAGTTGGACAAGATTTTATAATTCAAAAGTGCAAATGATTTATTAAATACAAAAGATGACTTTCACTAGTTGGATAAGTCAAAATTAAGTAAATAATAAATCAAAAATAATAATAAGTAAAAAATTATTTAAAAGTATTAGTTAATTTTTATACTTTTATTATTTGATTACTTTCAAAATTACTTGTCAATTACTTGTTGTTTTATATTAAATTATATTTGTTTAAATACATGTAAATGTAATATGGATTTACATAATGAGTGACATTATTTAAAAACAATTATATGATTAATTTAGAAGAAATGTATCACCAAGAAATAATAAGCATAATACTAATTTAATCTAAGTGATACAATTTAAATTAGAGTAACATTAGTGCTACATTAATTAATGTTAAACAAAAATTAATTTAAAATAGAATGAATTTAGATTCAATAATATTATGATAATAAAATAAATTAATAAATAATGTAATATTAAAAAAATTAATTGATGTTTTAATAAATTATGTGTAAATTAAATTTAAACAATTAAAAAATAAAATTATAAATAAAAAATATAAATAAAAATATAAATGATTATCAAAATTATATCACATGATATTTTACATATGATCTAAAATATTAAATAGTAACAGTCTTCTCTACTTAAGAGTTTTATTATGAAAAATTCAAATAATTATAATAGGTTTTAATTTATTCAATTCAATATAAAGCTTTAAATGATCACTATTATATGAATTCTTCAAAATTTTTTTATTAAATATATATAATTTATAAATTTCTGTGTCAAATTTGTCATGAATATAAAATGATCCTTTTCATTTTTCTTCAAATTTGTTATAATACTAATGTTAAGTTTTTATTTGCTTTATTAGAACTTTATTACCAATTTCAAATACTTGAATAATTTTATTTTTGTTATAATGTTCTTTTTGTTTTAATTGTATTTTTTGAATATTTTATAGAGCTAATTCATGATTTTCTTTTAATTAATTAATAATTTTACAAGCTCTTTAAACTATTTGTTTTTTTATTATTGTTTTTTAATCATTTAATAGTTCTAATTGAATATCAAGTGATATATTTATTTATTAATCATTTATTAGATAAAATAATAATTCAAATTCTATTTTATTATTCTATATACAAATAAAATATTTGAAAAATAATAGTTCCAATTTTGTTTATATAGTTGTATATATTTTGTAAGTATTATATAAATTGTTCTATTTAAGCATTCTACTAGATCATTTATTTGTGGGTAATAAGATGCTGAAAGTTGATATTTTACTTGATATCTATCTAAAAGTTCTGCAATTAAATCATTAACAAATATTGTACCTTTATTAGAAATAATTTTTTTTGGATATTCATATCTATATATAATACTTTCATATAAAAATAGAATTATAGTTACAATAACAATATTAGATATGACTCTTGCTTTAGTTTATTTTATAAAATAATCAATAGTGATAATAATATAGTGATTATTATTATATATTGATAAAAGTGATTCAATAAGATTTATATTAATTTTCTTAAATAATTAAATTAATAATATTGATATCAATTTATTATTCTTTTTACTTTTGTCTTTATACTAATATATGTCATATGCTTTAATATAATTATTAATATCTTTGTATATCTGAAATCAATAATATTTTTAATATATGCAATAATATATATTTTTAATATTAAAATATCCAATTAAATATTCATTATATAAAACTATTTTAACTTTAGTAACTTTAATAACTTGTGATTAATTTAGATTAAGTTTATTTTTTCTATGTAGATGATTTTTGTTGATAAAATATTATTTGAATTTGACTAAAAATTTTTAAGTTTGATTTATTAAAAGATTGTTTGATAGTTTTAGTGAGTCAAGATAATTATATAATTTAATATATTTATTCAAATTCATTTTGGATGATTATTGTTATCTGATGTGTGTAAAATTCTAGAAAGTAAATCTATATTAAAATAAATTTTATCTTTTTTATAAATTATATTCTTGAAGTTTTATTATCTAGTGAGATAATCTTCTAGGTGAATTTGATTTATTAAATAATCAGATTAAAACAGCATGATCAGTTATTAATTAGAATAATATATGAGAGTGAAGATATGGATAAAAGAATTTGA